AAAACCTGGTGTGACCAAAATTTACAGGCTTGATGATTTATTCAGTATGACCCAAAATGAGCAGAGGTCAGAGGTCATTGGTTCCTCTGACTTCTGTAGGACTGGAAGTATTTGTCGCCCTCTGGTGGCGTTCAGGTAGAATGCAGGTGAAGGTGTTTCCTGACTGACCCTGCGTCCATGTTTCCCCGCCTGTGTTTAACTTTGTGTGACAGTTTCCTGTCCTTCGTGCAAACTCGACACATGTAAACATTAATACGTTTGATTTAAAACGTTCATTCTGACTCTTTGATTTCAGCCTTTTGTTCTCTGTGATGCGGCTCAGAGTCACAGCAGGTCGTGCGCTGGCGTTGTTGAAGAACATGTTTCAGTCTGAGGGGGAAACGAAGCTCAGCCCGACGCGTCTGATCCGGCGTGATACGGGCACGTGTTCGGCCTGAGCGCAGCAGGCACGTCGGGACGATGAACGCTTTAATCATGGCGCTGATCCGGCTGCAGCTCGGACGATGAGCAGGACGATGATGAAGAGGTGTCGGTGTGAACACTGTGACTCTGGACGAGGGCTAAACCCGACCGAGCGAGGACTCGTCCCCGCCTCCCTCCCGTGTTTCAGTTCCTCAGTTTGTGCATCCTGGACTTCGCCGCTCTTTAATTCTTCTTTTCTTTACGCGCCCGTCAGCACAAGTCCGAGGTCTGGATCAGAACCGAGGTCGATCATAAACGAGCGGCGGAAGGTTTCAGTCGTGGAATCGAGTTTCCTGAACTTCGGACTAAACAGCCGCTGAACACCGGTTTGCTCAGTTCGACCACTGACGAGGTTTTTATGGCTTATTATTATTTTCCTGTGTGGCTCGTTAGAGGACACGCCCCACTGTGACGCTCAGTACGGAGGCGTGGCCTGAACTCCCGCTGAGACGTTTGAAACGTGGATGCTTCAGGTTTGTGGACTTTGTGACGCCTGTTACTAAAAAACCAAAACTGTAAAATGTTTGAGATGAACTGTTTGGAAGCTGGAATAAACAAAAGTGTCGGCCTTTACGCTGAAACATTGACGCGTCTGTTTGTCGTCAGTCTGTGCTCCGTTTAGCGCCGGCATCACGTCTCAGTGCTCGCTGAAAATCAGCTGATTGATTTATTTGTACAGTAAACTCAGCTGATGTAACAGAGCTGCAGGTTCTCCGGCTACGTTAACCCTGACCGACACGCGAGCAGGAATGAGTAGGGATGGGTACCGGTATCCGGTGCCATGATGGCACCAGTTCTGACATAAACGGTAGTAACCAGACCGAAAAGCAGCGCACATTTCGGTGCTTTATTTCGGTGCTTTTTTTTCCTGACCTGTGATACACTTTAGATTCTAGCCAATCATTTTACGTTTCCGAGGATAGTAGGCGGGTCCAGGTACGTACGTTCTGTTAGAGCAGAGCTACAGATTAAAAATGCCCAAGACGAAGCGGTCAAAAGTCTGGCTGTACTTCACAGCAAAAGATGCAAACTCAGCAGCAACAAGTGCTTTAAGCTGATACTGTGATACTGTCAAAGGAGGTAACACCTCGAATCCGATGAAACACCTGGCGACGCATAGTGTTTTTTTTTAAAGCCCAGAAATGCGCCGTATTTGATGGCAGCAACAGCCGTTCTTCTCTGCGTGAGTAGCTTAATGTTGTTCGTGTGTAATTTACGTTGAGTAGGCTAACCACGTTATTACATTAATGCATGTAAGGTGAACTAGCAAACATCATCATAGCTACATGCGGCTGTCTTCTTGTTTGATGGCAGATACTCCCTTCACCCTGGACAAAAAGGCTAAAATGACCAAAGAAAAAGTGGAAAACAGTTAAACATGAGAGGTTTTTGGGCAAAGTTTGTGTTTTTTCCATTGTTTAAGCACTGCTTCCAGCCAAGAGTGATGCCATATATGCCCCATAGCTGCAGAAAAGGCTAACATTGTTATCTTTTTACAAAAAACAGCTGAACATGAGAGGTTTTTGGACCAATTTTGTGTTCTCCATTCTTTAAGCACCGGTTTAAGCACCGGCACCGTTTCAAAAGTACCGATTTGGCACCGGTATCGGATAAAACCTAAACGATACCCATCCCTAGGAACGAGCATCGCCGTTTGATCGATTTGATTCACCGGAGAAAACTTCACAAAGTGCATTCTGGGTAAAATTTGAAGGTTCACATCGGGCTGCTTAGAACAGGCCACAGCAGAGGGAAGGTCTCCCTGCTGGATCAGGATCAACACGGCTCAGTTGGTCGAGGCTTCAGATCGACGCCCAAAGATGCTTTTCAGCGTTTGAAAGTAAACATTTAAACATCTTCTTAAAGTTACTGCACAAAACAGCTGAATGTGATGGAGTCACTGCTCCATGACGTGATCTCAAGTTGTAAAAATATTTACTGCCGAGCAAGAAGGACAAACTTGTAACCTGTTTAAATAATCGAATCTTTGTTTTTCAACACTAAGTTTTTGGTTTTAAATGAACTTGTAGATGAAAAGTGAAGCTGAAACCAGCAGCGCTGCTTTGGTCATCGTAACATTAAACAGGTTTATAAGTTTTAACTGTTTTATTCTAAAGTAAGGTTTGTTTTATTGTACATCAGAGGACTTTAACAGCTGTAAATGTGTAATTATGTTACAATAGGTTTGAGTGTAAAACAGCTGACACGTCAAACACAACCTGCACATCCAAATCATGTGACTGTGGACGCTGCATAATACCAACAACACTGATTCATTTCATTAGTCTTACAATTAGTACTGAAAACCTTTAATTTCTTGTATCTGTACTATCCCCACTAAATTATTCCAGAAGTATTACAACAACCATATTTTTTTAAATAGTTTTTAAAATATCAGAAAATATTTAATATTTTTAAAGTACTAGAAATTGAAAAAAAGCTTCCTGTCAGGTTGACGTGTTTAAACGTGTCCGTGAATGACGTTAAAGCCGCAGCTCTGTGTCGACTCACCTCGTGCTTCGGTTTATCTCAAACATGCTTTTTAATCTGCAGCTTAACCAGCTGATGCCACCAAATGACCACCAGGGGGCAGGGCTCGACCTGAGTCGTCACCTCCATCCCGATTGGTCCGTTCAGCCTGGTCGTCTCCTCTGAGCACACAGCTTTGACCCCACACAGATGTGTACTTCATTTACATTTGAGAACAGGAAGCAGTCGTGTACGATCAGAAACAGAATCGTTTTACTTCCAAGGATTCACATTAAAGTTGTTTTGGTCAATAAATGTTTTTAGATCTGAGTAAAATGATTGTATTTCTCTTTTGAGCTCCACAAAACTTCATCTTCTCAGAAGATGATGTTTTTTAAGCACAACGAGCCAACGAACGCAGGAGGCAGAAAAGGTTGTTGATGAGGTGAATCAGCCGCTGAGAGGTGAAGCCGGCTCAATTTTGAAATGTCGAGTTTCTCAGTTTCAGACAGCAGCTGGAGGCTGCAGCTGGCACCTGGACTCGTCTGCTACGCAGTCCTGCTGCGTGTGGTTTAACATCGTCCTGCTGAAAACGAAGGCTGTCAATGAAAAAGCTTTTCCGCACATATCTGCCGACTGTCTACGTTATCTCTGAGCTCCTAGACGCACGCTGGCGTTTATTATTTTACAAGCTGTCGTTTTTGTCTCTTTACGTCAGAGGCCACCACCAGGGTGATGGAGAAACGACATGAGTAGACGGTCCAGGCGTGTCAAGGTTTGCGCTCATATATTTCTTACGATGGTGCATTTTCCAGTTTAAACCGTTTAGAGAATAAATGAACAAAATATTTATTTATGAGAAAATTGAGCTCCGTTTTTATTGACATATTTACACACAGCGCGGCCACATGTTTGTACTTTCACCTTCTAAATGTCTGCCCTGCTTCAAGTCCCTGCATGTTATCTACACGTAGTGTTCAGACGTGTTCGAGCACATCAGCTCAGCCATCTGCTCCACAGGTCCGAGTGCTGCTACGACTCAAAGCTTCATTCTGTGATATCTCAGGTGTTTACAGAGACACAGATAAGTTTGTTAGTATCTGAATAACGACACTGTGTTGATGACTGCTCGTCACTGCAGAGGATTTTAAACCAAAGTTTTTGTTCATGTTTAAAAAACAAAGCCGAGCATTTTCAGAGTGTCAAAAGTAATTGGACAGTTGACTGACTGGCAGTTTAGTCTTGTTTATGACAACAGAAGCAGATACACTCAGACAACAGACCAAAGGTGTGACAAACACACGAAGCCAAGGTTCGATAGTACCGGACTGACGGGAGGAGAGAAACAGCCAATGATCTGAAGGAAACCACGTCATGTGACCAACATGGTGGAGCCAGTGTTACAGTGCAGATGGATAATGACCCAAAAAACTTCCACGTAGATCGTTCACCTGATGAAACTGGTTCAGCTGTTTTAATCTGACTGTTGTCCTGATGAATGTTTCTGATCGTCAGACTCTTCCTGCGTTGGTGCTACTGCAGCTGCAAACAGCAGCAGGCCAGAACAGGCCCTGCGATCTTTGTGCGTGCAGAGTCGGTCGCCTCGGACAAACAGATCGTCTTCACACTCTCAGCTTCTCACGAGATCACAAATGCATGCTGCGTTCAAGTGACAGTGGACAAATGATTATTAATGTTTATTTTAATGAGAAAATGAACAGGCAGAGGAGGAACAACAGTCAGATGACAGCCAGATATCAGACATTAGCCTGCACTGATGCAGATGTTTGAAGGAGAGCGATCGACATACACGATCTGTGTAACATGATTCTGTATCAGTGATTTGGTGGCTCAGTGATGGTCTGGGAGGCAAATCCATGGAGGGAAATACAGACAGATCTCTACAGGCTAGATACCACCACCCTGACTGCCATTAGGTGCGGAGATGAAATCCTCCACTCACTGCAGACTCTACGTTGGTGCGCTGCCCGGCCTCATGTGGACAGACTTTGCAGGCACTTCCTGGAGGATAAATGAATATCACTGACTGGCCCCAAAGCTCGCCTGACCTAAATCCAACAGAGCACCTCATTATGTTTCTGTCCACCTGACACCATCAGGTTGGACCTCAGACTGTCCAGGAACTCAGTGATGCCTTGTCCAGACCTGGGAGGACACCACAGGTCGTCTCATTAGAAGCAGGCCCTGGTGTCATCGGGCACACACACCATCACGTGGGGGCCAAACAAACGACAGAGAACCGTTTTGAGTTGGTCACATGACATTTCAGTGAAATAAACGAGCCACTTTTTTTCTCTTTGGTCTTCGGCGTGTCGTGAATTCAGCTCCTTGTATCTGATCTGACGTGTTTGTAAAGTGAACAGTCAAAGGAGCTTGCAAAGAAAAGCGTCTGGACTTCTTTAAGTTGCTTGAAGACGTTTCACCTCTCATCCGAGAAGCTTCTTCAGTTCTAAGGTCAAATGGTGGAGAGTCCCAGATATAAACCTAGTGGGAGTTTCCCCCCACAGAGGGACAAAAGGACCCCCTGATGATCCTCTAATCGCCTGAGCCAAGGTGTGAAACTGGGTGTGGGTCCCAATCAGCCAGAGTTTCGGGTGTGTTCATTGAAGTGGAAAGAGATGTTAATATTTTTTGAAAGTAGAGTCCAAAGGCAGCATATACAGGAAGAACAAAGTAGGACCAAGAACAGGCCCCTGGGGCACACCACAGTAGATATGGGCAGAAGAGGAAAAGTATTGTCCCATAGCAACGGAGAAAGTCCTCTCTGAGAGATCTGATTTAAACTAAGATAGGACTATGCCTTTGAGACCAACAGCATGTTCTAGCCTCGATAATAAAATGTGGTGATCAACCGTATCGAAAGCAGAGGTCAAATCAAGTCGAACTAAAACCACAGAGCAGCCTGAGTGGACGGTTAAAAGTAAATCAATGTTAGAACTCAGGAACACAGAAGTGCATGTAACAACAGCTAATTACTATACATGAGATGAATTAGTTTTACTAGTCAGAAGCATATTTAATGTTGGTGTAATGACCTGTAGTTTAATAATGACATTGCTGAGACTGATGATCACTAATCAGTTTCTGTGCTACTTTAAAGATTCTCTTATCTAAATGACAGAAAGAGAAGAACATCTGACGTTTCATTTCATAAAATGCTGCAGGCTGATGAGCTGCTGAGCTCTTCTCCCAAAATATTTTTCATCAACTCATTTAGTTGATCTTTTTGTTTTTCCTGGAGGTCTTCTATGTCCTCCTCATTAGTTTGATTCTTCATTTGTCTTTCATGTTTATGCATTAAATTCTTGATCTTGTTCAAGTTTTCAGTCTTTTTGGTCACACGTCTCACTAAGTCGTACATTTCCTTCTTATGTTCTTCCCTCTGTTTTGCTAATTCATCCATGTGTTTCTTCTGGGCTTGGTTGAACTCTTCAGCTTTCTTTCTGGCTTCCTCTTCATGTTTCTTCTTTAGATCATCCAGAGTTTTCTTATGAATTTCCTCCAATCCTTTTATTTCCTCTTCTCTTCTTCTTTGATCGTCTTCTTTATTGGTTTTTTCACATTTCAGCTTTTCATTATAATCTTCCTGTAGTTTTTCCATTTTTTCTTTCTCTTCCTCTCGTCTTTTGTCTTCGTCTTGTCGTTGTTTGTCCCACCATTCTTTCTGTTCTTTCTCCCACTCCTCTTGTTTTCTTCTCATCTCTTCTCTGGCTTCTTCCAGTTTTCTGTCCACATTTTCTTTTGCCTCTTTTTCTGACTGAATTTGTTTGTCCAGCTTTTCAAGTTCTTTTTCAAATTCTTGTCGGCGTCTTTCTTCTTCAGCTTCCTTTTCCCTTTTCTCCTTTTCCCTGATTTCCTGTTCCTGCTTTCTCTTCTCTTCTTCTTCTCTAATTTTATTTCTCATTTTTTCGAGTTCTTTTTCTCTCTGTATTCTCTCCTTTTCTCTTTCTTCATCAATTCTTTTCTCCATGGCCTCCATATCTTCTTTATATTTTCTTTCCATTTCTTCCTTTTCTTTCTGCATCTCTTCTTCCTTCTCCTTTAAAATCTTCTGCATCTCCTTCCTTATCGCAGTTTCAGCCTCTTGCAGCATCTTGTTGGTAAAGCAGCGCCTTCCATTGTTCTTCATCGTGGTGTCAATCTTTGCTATCAGCTCACTGACTTGTTTTTTATTTTGTTTGTCATTGTTATTGAACACATGGTATCTTCCTCCACAGTCAGAGATCAGCTTCTTAAAGGAAGGATCACAGTTGTTTTTGATGTAGTCCTCTGAGGACAATCTGCTACGCTCCAGTTCATCTCCTCTGGTTAAAAGAACGATGGTGAACTTTTCAGAATTCTTCCCAAAGAATTGCTTGATGAGTTTCAGTGTCTCCTTCTCCTCTGCTGTGAATCTGCCGATATGAATCACCAGCAGGAAGACATGTGGTCCTGGAGCCAAAAGACTGACACATTTCACCAGCTCTTCTAGAACCTCCTCATTGGACAAACTTGTGTCAAACAGACCAGGAGTGTCGACCACAAGAACGGGACGACCGTCCACCTCACCGTGTACTTTCCTACAACATTGGGTGACTGATATTTGACTTGATTCAGCTTTAAACTCATCTCTTCCTAAAATGGTGTTTCCTGTAGAGCTCTTTCCACAGCCGGTCTTCCCAATCAGCACAATCCTGAGACAGTCTGAGTCCTGTTCTCCAACTTCACCACCTAAAACATGAAAACAGTTGCATTTAACTTAGAGTTAGATCAGGACTCAGTGGGTCATTGGAAATAGAAAATCTAAATTACTTACCAGTGACAAGTTTTAAGACTTTCTCCATTTGTGCGTGTAAAAATGTTGCAGTTGTATAACAGCACAGTTGTCCTGTAGGCTGACTAATTTTGTCCACAATCTCAAACATCTCTGGGATCTGCTGTTTTTTCTTGATGTTGAGAACAACTGATCTTCCTCCACAGCTCTCACAGAGCTCCTGGATGTCCTTGTCTTCCTTTAGAAAGCTTAAAACAGTTGGATCTGTCGGATCTGACTTGACAGTGAACAGAATCATGGTGAAGTCATTGACTCGAGAGCCGAATGCATCCTGGATGGTCTCTAACTCTCCCTTGTCTTCATTAGTGATGGCAGCTGCAGGTAGGACCAGGATGAAGGCATGGACACCCTCAGGATCACAGAGGGAGATACACCTGAGTGATTCCTCCATCACTGCCTCCTGAGGTTTTCCATACAAGGCAGGCAGCTCCACCAGGGAAACCCAACGTCCACACACCTCTCCCTGATGTTTAACACACTCTGATGAGTTGGAGGCTGAATGAAGCTCAGTCTGACCTAAAATGGCCTTGGCTGCTGACGTCTTCCCTGATGATCCACTCCCAAACAGAACCAGGTTCAGACTGGACTTCAGATTGGGTTTAGCCTCTTCTTTTAACATTAGATATTTTCCCCAGTTTTTACTCACTATCTCATTCATTTCTTCCATCAACTCAGAGGAATCTGACAAGGAGTCTTTCCTGTCAAAGTTAATGAACTGCTGCCTTTGTTTGGATTCTTCAATGAGTTTATCCACTGAGTTATTCCCTTCCTCGTTATGCGTTCGGATGATGATGGAGTGATTAAAAGCATCTTGACCAAACAAGCTCAGGACCAAATTCAGAGTCTGTCTGTTCTCCTCAGTGAAATCAGAAGGTTTGACTAACAGCAGCAGAACGTTTGGTCCAGGAGGACAGAGACTCACACAGCTCTTCATCACTTTAAACAGCTCATTCACAGGCAGACTGAAGATGTTGGGTGTTTTTACAACTGTGGGAGGTTTCCTGTTCCTCTCTCCAGAAGCAGCACCAGATTGCTTTCCTCCAAAACCTTTAGACTCTTTTTTCCCAACGAGGAGCTTTTCCAGGGCTGATTTCTTGTCATTACTTTTTCCAAACAGCATTATCCTGAGTTCACGTGCTGCAATTAGAAAAAAGTTATTTTACATCAAAAATTATGAAACACATATTTACGTCACATTCCATTACATAGTTTGCAATTGTTAATCATATCACTTGAGAAATAATCACTTATAACTTTGTCTTAAAACAGGTTGCTTAGTGATAGCGCTGGCAGTTTCACTTTCAAATATGGTTTCTTGATGACGGGCCGGGCTAAGTTTGAACAGCCATGTCAGCTCTCTATTAAGGAGGATAGGCTTCTGGGCAGGTTTTAAAGGCACTGGCCTGATATTGTTGGACAGAGGTGGCAAAGGTGCAAACTTTCTTTACTTAAGTAGAAGAAATGAAGCAACTTCTTTACTCAAGTAAAAGTCCAAAAGTACAGGCTCTGAAATGTACTCAGTGTAAGAAAGTAAAAAGTAACTTGTTGAAGAACATTTCTATGAACAATTTTCATACAAAGGTAACTGAACCTTGTGCTATACTAATATAACAATGAAATAATGTTAGTGCATAAATCTAAATTCTAATGAATGTACTCAGTTTGAATCTGTTATCTCGGACACCTGCATTGAATGATAGCTTTAAAACAGTAACTATTTTCTGTTGCCTGTTGTAAATGGTAACAGTGAAATGAGTACAGTCAAGGGTTATATTGGCGGGTGGGGAAACCCTAAGAGGGAAAAATATCACAACTCACAAAAATCTTTAATATGAGCTTCAGTAGATTTTCTTGACTGATGTCCATCCTCTACACTGATACTAAACTGTTTATACTGTCGTTACACTAGACAGTATAGAGTTGGGATAAAGTTGGAATTTAGTTAATGAATCATCAGCTTAAACGCAAATTATGAGCACTGGACCAGCTCTTTACCCTCTAGAGGACACTTCAAGGTGCATGGGAGTTTGCAAAACCAGTCTAGATGTGTTTTGTGAACATGGAGTATGGGGAGTCTGCTCCAGATCGGTCCACAGTTCTGGAGCTGCTACAGCAAAAGCACGATCTCCTCTAAGTTTACGTCCAGTCCTGGGTACATTCAGGCGCAGCTGATCAGCTGACCTGAGAGAGTGGATAGGTGTGTAAAGCTGTAGCAGCCCAGAGAGATAAGATCGTGCTAGGCCACGGAGAGCTTTAAAAGTAAATAAAATAATTTTAAAATGAATCCTAAAATGAATGGGCAGCCAGTGAAGTGAAGCTAAAACAGGGGAAATGTGCTGAAACGTTCAAGTGCCAGTTAAAAGATGAGCTGCAGCATTTTGCACCCTCTGTAGATGGGTAATTTATGATGCGCTGACCCCAATATAAAATGCATTACAGTAATCCAACTTAGCGCTAACAAAGGCGTGGATCACTGTCTCAAAGTGCTGCTGTGAAAGAATTGGCTTTATTTTAGTTAGCTGAGTTAATCTGTCAAGCTTCAGATCACAGTCCACTTTCACCCCCAGGTTTGTGACAGCTCGTTTAACATATTGGGCCAAGGTATCTAAATACACATTGGGGTCTCAGTGGGGCTACCAAAAAACATCACCTCTGTCTTTTTATCATTGAATTTTAAAAAGTTAACAGACATCCAAGCCTTAATGTCATCGAGACACTGATGTGTGGAGTATGTGCCTTTTTCCTTTAGAGGGACATAGATCTGACAGTCATCAGCATAAAAGGGAAAAGGATGGCTGCTGTGTTTGCTTCGGACTACTCCTCACCCCCTACCCAACCCTGCGGCTTGTCACGTGCTCCATAATGTTGTGCTGTGGACATTTATGTGTAATGTCTGTGTTGTGTGTGTATAGTGGGGCAACCTGCATGTGGCGAATAAAGCCTTGATTGATTGATTGATTGATTGATTGAAATGCAATGTTTTCTCAGTATAGTACCAAGAGGAAGCAGTATAAAGATAAGAGGAGGGGGCCTAGAACTGAGCCCTGTGGGACACCACACAAGAGAGGAGCGGAGGACGACACATGTTCGCCCCTCCAAGTAGGACCTGAACCACTCCAGTGCTGTGCCCCTAATGCCCACCCAAAACCTTTAAAAGTGCTGATTCAGAGCTATGAAAGGATTTAAAACCAGATTGGAAAACCTCTAAAACATTTTGCTTTTCCAGGAAGGTCATTAATTGGCTGTGAACCATCTTTTCAAGAATTTTGGGAAGAAAATGTAATTTGGAGATAGGCCTGTAATTTACAAGAACTGTAGGATCAAGAGCAGGGTTTTTAATCAGGGGTTTGACTACTGCATGTTGAATATCTTTAGGGACTACACTTGACATCAAACTGGTTTACCAGCTCAAGAACCAAAGGCCCAACTGTAGGTAGCATCTCTTTTAAGAGTCGAGGAGGGACAGCATCATTTGCCCTGCAGGCTTAAAACAACCAACAGTCTTCTTTAAAGTGACTGAGAGGTCACGAGCACAAGGAGACATGTGAGCCCTGGTGGAGGAGACCTCAATAAAAAGGGGAAAAAAATTTCACAGGCTGCAGACGAGGGCTCGATACATTCAGTATGTGGTGCACCAAGAACAGAGTTAATGGTTTTAAATAAAACAAGCAGGTTGTGACAGTTTGACAGAATAATGTCAGATAAGTGTTTTCTGACAGCTCGGGTTGTGCTGTTCAGCCAGGACTTAGATTTAGTTTTAGGCAGTCTGGTTTTTAATGGAGCCACAGTGTCCAAAGCAGTCCGACAAGTGGAATAAAACCATGAGCTCAGGTTCTCAGTCTGTGTGCATGAACACTCCGGGATTTTAAAGTTTTAGTTTTAACTAAACTGTTGAAAACTGCTCAGCAGTGGAGGAGTTAAACACGCGACAGTGCTGAGCAGCAGTGCGATGTTTGACCCAACATCCGCGGGGAATTAAAACAGCAGCAATATTTAACATATTGTATTCTTAAATAGTCTAGTCTGTTTCTGTTACTGTACTGGAGCAACTGTAACCCACATAATTTCCTTAGGGATTAATAAAGTATGCTGATTCTGCTGATTCTGCTTAAGAAAGAAAGAAAGAGTACTTTATTGATCCCCGTGGGGAAATTCCTATCTGCATTTAACCCATTCACTCAGTGGGCAGCCATTGGGCGCCCGGGGAGCAGTGTGTAGGGATTGTACCTTGCTCAGGGGTACCTCAGGGTAGCTGTTCAGGGGAATCGAATCCCCGAACTTCTGATCATGGAATCATGGACCACTCTACCTACTGAGCTAATATATTTTTTAATATAGTTTGTGTGTTTCTGTACTGTGTCCTGTTTTGTTTGTATGTGTGGGGTTTTTTTTTGCTGCTGTTAGAACCAAATTCTGCCCTGTGGGACCATTAAAGGATTATTCTATTCTATTCTATTTTATTCTATTCTATTCTATTCTATTGCCAATCTCCTTTATGAAACTAGCCTCTGATGGGATCCAGATATTTGGGACACATTTCAATTCTTGCAACCTGATTCCAACTGTGTGATTTTTGGGCCTAGGCATCGTGGTCAAACTGTTGATACTGATGCTTAGTGAAGGTCAACAATCCTGATTTCCAAGCATTAAACCTTTGGTAAGTACAGATAGTGTTACACTGGATTATCTTGTAAATTGTTGTTGTTGGCAGAACTGTGAGCATGTTGGATATGTTTATCAGCCAACGTTGCTCCTAAAACCTGCAGCACAGTGTGATCATGGCAGTTGGATCCTGCTCCACCCTGCTGCTGCACCTGTTTGTTGTGTGCTTTCACTTCCAATACCTGAACAGATGTTACAGTTACTCTCTAAATCTATTCTCTGTGGACGGTGTGAGTGCAAAATCCTCACTGCTGATCAATAACATGTGAGTGGACTCACCAGCTGTTTTGGTTGCCATGATGTCGATTTTCTGAAAAGACCTGGGGATGAACTGGAAGGAAAAAAAAGTATTTTAGGTTCTTTGAATCACACAACATGTGATGGTAGGTGGACAAAGGGGCTGTAAGCATGAATGGTTCGAATGGAACGGCAGAAAAAAAGAGTGCAACACAAGTTACATTTAGCCATGGTAAATAGTATTTGTATAGCACTTTACTTAGTCCCTGAGGACCCCAAAGTGCTTTCTGCTACATTCAGTCATTCACACACAGATGATGGCAGCTACATTGTAGCCACAGCTGCCCTGGGGCCACTGGTGCCACCGGGCCCTCTGACCACCACCAGTAGGCAACGGGTGAAGCGTCTTGCCCAAGGACACAACGACCGAGACCGTCGGTTCGAGCCCCGGCTTGAACCGACAACCTTCCGATTACAAGACGAACTGCCAACTCTTGAGCCACGGTCGCCCACATCATGAGTAACGGCAGAAAGAAGGTTCACATCTTTCACTTTCAATTTCAGTTTTCAAAGAAATTAAAGTCTTTGTATAGACTGATCAACCAGATTGAAGAATCAGGGGACCTCAGTCTGAACACATGTAGAAGTGTTTTATACACATGGATGATTTATTTCACGTTCTCAACCTCAGAGATCATTTATGCTTTCAGGAGGCCTACTGTGCACAAGAAGATATTACTTGAATGAGTTTTAATTAAAGAATATTATGATGGATCCATTTGATCCACTCATGTGTGCTGCATTCAAGTGGATAATTGGACTAAGATTATTCCAAACAGTCGGACAGAAACGACCAACTATAGACCACATCACCTGGATCATAATCACATTCACATCTTACTACAAGGATTAATTTAGCAAACGCTTCTGAGAACGATGATTAGATGAGATCACGAGAGTCTAAAAACTCCAGTAAGTGAAACACGATCTGAGTGTGGGCGGTACATCTGCAACAAAGAGAATACCAGGACCTGTTCCAGCCCGCTGGGTACAGGTGAGCAGCTGGAAAAAAGGTGTGTGTGTGTGTGCGTGCGTGTGTGTGTGTGTGTGTGTGTGTGTGTGTGTGTGTGAGGGGGGAGTTGTGGCAGTTTCAGTAGAGATTAAAAGTTTCATATAGATAAAATATTAAAATATTCCTCTTCACTCAACTGTCTCACCCTCCAGTTTATATGCAACCTTTCTGTCTACTCAGAGGAAATCATTGATGTCATCATAGGTTATATAACAAATAACCTAAGTTTCATGTTTCTGCTCATTCTGTGCAGTAATTTGATAAAAGCACAAAACAAATATTAGGAATTATAGTTCTGCATCATATCACACAGGTTCACTCTCTGCAGCCATAAAGAAAAGATGTAAATGAGGAAAAATCAAAAGTATATTAAAGGCAGTAACGATCAAAGTGAAACTACCATAAACAAGGAGAATCACGACGCACCTCACAGCACAAACACAGCTAACAAAGGTGCAGCAGACCTGCAGAGAATCCAAAGCATGAGAAAACATTTAGTGATGAGTTTCACTGTTCAGAAAAAACAGCAGATAAATTTGTGCTTTACCTGTTTGTCGTCCTCTGAGTTCACAGGTGAGACATGGCGCCTGCTTCTTTGTTTGGTTTCACCTCTGACGACGGTATGAAGGCGGGCTTAACGCTGCCCACCCAATCAGAAGTTAGAAACACTGCTCATGTTTTCTCTGAGCCTTCTTTTCTTCACTTTTGATTGGGTGGGAACAACCACCCACCCATACTCTGTGTGCTGGTGTTTGGGTGGGGTGAGTCTACTCGACACAAATTTATGCTTTATATTTGTATATTTGTACAGATTTGTGTCGACTTTCAGAGGCTGGATCCATGCAGAACAGATGACAAAACATCTGCATCGGTGCGCCTTCATGTTTGTCGTCTGGTTGCACCGATGTTCTGTACGACATCCTGATGTGTTGTTGGTCTGATGTTCGTTGTTTAAAGTTTAAAAGAATACATTTGCCCTCTGTCACTTTAATGCAGCGTGCATTGTGGTTGTGTGAGAAGCCGAGAGCATGAAATTTAATAACGCCACAGACTACAGCTAATCTGTCAGAAAGCAAAAGAATGCAGGGCCTGTTCCAGCCTGCTGTGTTAGGAACGACGGTTACAAATAAAAGTGCGAGACAAAGATCGTCACAACCAAAATGTGAGTGTTACTGTTGCTCCTGCTTTTTCTCTTCAGCTTAACCTTTTCTCAAGATGACTCTCAATCTTGATGAACAAATTGGAGTCTATTAGACACCACAAGTGTGATTTGTAAATACTGAACATAATTTTTGAACAGCAGGGTGACTGACTGAACACTAGAGCGTAGGTGAAGAATCAGATTTCATGGTTATTGCTTTGGAATCAGGGTTATGACGTATCATGTGTATCAGTGGGGGCTGTTAGTTTTGGTTCAAAGACTTTACTGTCATTACTCAACACGTTCTCACTCCCAAAATGTAACAATTTATACTAGGTGACAAATCTTCAGTATGTTACCCAACACGTCTGCTTTTTTCTGTTTCTGTTTCATATATTTTGGTGGTTTTCTAGATTATGATTTATGTTCTGATTCTTGACTTGTGCTGGTTTGATTTTGTATTATGGGTTATATTTTCTGTCAAATCTGTCTTTGTAAATTGTTTCCTGTTTGATTTTGATAGTTCCAGTCCTATGTCAGTGTATTCAGTTTTACTTAGCCGTCTCGTTAGCCCTAATTTCTCCGAGCTGTGTCTCCCTCCTGTTTTCCATTCCGTGATTACTCAACTGTGTATTTAAGCCCTGTGTTTGCCTTTGTAGTGTTGTGTCCTCTACGTGCCGTTTGTTTCGCATGGGCTAGTGGGCCTGTCTTCCAGCGTCTCTGTTCGGTGTTGAGTTTTGTTTTTGTGAGTTTATCTATGAGAAGTGTTTTTCCAGCAATAAAAGCTGCGCCTTAAGTTTAACCCTCCTGGTTTTGAGTCTTGCTCTTGGGTCCACCTTTGTGGCCTGCCACACAGCCCATCATGACAACATCCCTATATTACGAGTTTGGAAAAATGAGGCGCTGTCAGTTTGTTCGCTGTCTCTGCGGTACAGTATCACTTCCTGTTCCTGTTCCAAGTGGTGTTTCTGAGTAGCTTATCTGCTTAGCAATTTAATTGAAAACTGTTAAATACATTCTTTTTTCATAGTATAATCTTCACGTGCTTCATCCAAAACACACTTTCTGTGTACTCACTACCGAACTTATAGCCAAAGTATTCACTCACTGTGTTTTTACTGTTTCGCTAGCTTAGCTTAGCTCGTAGCCGACTTGTTAGCACCATGGCCTCTTCACCTGTCCCTCCTGCACTTTCTTGCTCATTGTGTCAGATGTTTAGTTACTCCTCAGCCTCCTTTAGCAGTAATGATACCTGTAACAACTGTACCATATTTGCAGCTCTGGAGGCCAGGATTACTGAATTGGAGACTCTGCTTCGCACCCTTCATTCACCCGTAGCTAGCCAGGCCCCTGTAGCTGGTGCAGCCGAAGATAGCGTAGGCCCCGCTAGCTGTTCCCCGGCAGATCCCAAGCAGCTGGGGAAAGAGGGCGGCTGGGTCACGGTGAGGAGGAAGCATAGTCTTAAACAGAAGCGCCAGGTACACCACCAACCCGTTCATGTGTCTAACCGATGATTCTGTTCTCAGACATGTGAAGCTAGAGACACCGGCAACCATAGTCAATTGTCTTCCTGGGGCCAGAGCAGGCGACATTAAGGGAAATTTAAAACTACTGGCTAAGGGTAAACGTAAATTCAGTAAATCATAATTCACGTCGGCAGTAATGACACCCGGTTACGCCAATCGGAGGTCACTAAAATCAATATTGAATTGTTGTGTAACTTTGCCAAAACAATGTGGGACTCTGTAGTTTTCTCTGGTCCCCTCCCCAATCAGAGTGACATGTTTAGCCGCATATTCTCCTTAAATTGCTGGCTGTCTGAGTGGTGTCCCAGAAATGATGTGGGCTTCATAGATAATTGGCAAACCTTCTGGAGGAAACATACTTAGAAAACAGGAAATACTTTTTAGCAATAGGTAACTTCACATCTGAGCAGAAGAGTATTACATGTGGAGTTCCCCAAGGTTCTATCTTGGGACCTCTTCTGTTTAACATTTACATGCTTCCACTGGCACAGACTATAAAGAACAACAAAATAAACTATCACAGCTATGCAGATGACACACAAATATATATCACAATGTCACCAGGAGACCGAGGCCCTGTACAGGCTCTTGGTAAATGCATTGAGGAAATTAATGACTGGTTGTGCCACAATTTTCTCCAGCTAAACAAAAACAAAACTGAAGTAATAGTCTTTGGTGCCAAAGAAAAACTGATTACTGTAACAGCATCTTTACAGGTCTACCCAAAAAATCAGTCAGACAACTACAGCTCATTCAGAACTCTGCTGCTCGAGTCCTCACTAAGACCAAAAAAGTGGACCACATCAGTCCAGCTCTGAGGTCTTTACACTGGCTGCCTGTCCATCAGAGGATGGACTCTAACGTTCTGATGCTGGTCTATAAAGCTCTGAATGGTTTAGGACCAAAATACATCAGTGACCTCCTGACCCAGTATGAACCTTCCAGATCCCTCAGGTCATCTGGATCCGGTTTTTTTTTTATCACTTCCCAGAGTCAGAACCAGACACGGAGAAGCTGCATTCAGCTTTTATGCTCCTTATATGTGGAACAAAGTCCCAGAAAACCTCGGATCAGCTGAAACACTCAGTTTATTTAAGTCCGTTTTGAAGACTCACCTGTTCTCAGCTGCTTTCGAGGAAAACACGAAATCCACACTTTTAAGCTTAAATTTTAAAACTTACATTTTAATTACTGATTTTATCTATTGTTCTGATTTTATCTACTGTTTTTTTTAAATAAATTTTAAATCATGCTTTCTATTTGTTTTTGTTTTTAATGTCTCTGTAAAGCACTTTGAACCACCTTGTTGTTGAATTGTGCTATATAAATAAACTTGCCTTGCTTCTTGTTAGGAGAGACAGCATCCATCCCACTTTGGATGGAGCAGCTCGCATTTCTAGAAATATGGACAAATTTATTAAACCCCCCAAAATATGACTATCCAGAGTTGGGACCAGGAAGCAGAGTTGCAGTCTTACACGCCTCTCTGCAGCTTCTGTCCTCCTGCTACCCCCCCAAAAACCCATCTCCATAGAGACTGTGTCAGCTTCCAAACAGACAAAAAAACAAACTAAAAACCAGCAACAAACAACTTAAACATAAACAATTACAAAGAAAGAACAATACAGTATCCACAAATGAACCAAAGAGTAAAACAGTGAAATGTGGATGATTAAACATTAGGTCTCTCTCCTCCAAGTCTCTGTTAGTACATGACTTAATAATTGATCAACAAATCGATTTACTCTGCCTTACAGAAACCTGGTTGCAGCAGGATGATTATGTTAGTTTAAATGAATCAACACCCCCGAGTCATTCTAACTACCAGAAATCTCGAAGCACAGGCCGAGGGGGCGGTGGGGCAGCAATTTTTCACACCAGCCTATTAATCAACCAAAGACCAAGACAGACTTTTAATTCATTTGAAAGCCTGATGCTTAACCTCGTCCACCCCAGCTGTGAAACTCAGAAACCAGTCTTACTTGTTATCATCTATCGTCCACCTGGGCCTTACACAGAGTTTCTGTCTGATTTCTCAGACTTTATATCTAATTTAGTTCTGAGCTCAGATAAAAGAATTATTGTGGGTGATTTTAACATCCATGTAGATGCTAAAAATGACAGCCTCAACATGGCCTTTAATCTGTTATTAGACTCAATTGGCTTCTCTCAAAATGTAAAAGAACCCACCCACCACTTTAATCACACTCTATGTCACGCTGATCGGTCGTTTCTGTCTTTTTTTCTCTCTCGTGCTCTCTCTCTCTCCTCCTCTCTGTCGCCGGGGTGGAAGTCACTGTGGGTTCACGCCCTCTGCCCATGCCCACGGAAAAGAACACATCTGATGCCCATCAAGGTGAACGGCATTTAAGCCAGGAGGTGACTGCTGGTCTTCACTGGATTGTTGTCTACCACACGTTAGTGAAAGTCAAGTGCTTTCTGTGAATATCGTTCTCATTCCTCTCTCCTTATCTACAGACCCCTGGATTACCCTTCGCGTGTGAATCTGTGTGTCAAGTGTGAAAGAAGAGGACTGCTGTCGTTAGTTGGAGAGCGAGTTATTCCCACCTTGGATTTCCCTGGAGCCCGTCCCTCACATGTAGCACTACCCCGCACTCTCTGTATATACACTTTGGTGAACTCTGTAAATAAATCCTTGTGTTCACCTCTGTCAGTGCGCCCCAGGGCGGCTGTGGCTACACTGTAGCTTGCCATCACCAGTGTGTGAATGTGTGTGTGAATGGGTGGATGATTGTGTATAGTGTAAAGAGCTTTGGGGTCCTTAGGATCAAGTAAAGCGCCATACAAATACAGACCATTTTCAGCTGATTCAGGAGTCCTGCGTTTGAATCCCCTGCATTGAACCTTAACACTCTAGATCTTGTTTTAACATATGGCATAGAAACTACACATTTAA